GTGTGTGTGTGTGTGTGTGTGTGTGTGTGTGTGTGTGTGTGTGTGTGACTAATGGATGGGTTGAAATGAGCCTCAGTTTCTTCTCTAGAATTTCTTCTGGCTTCTGAGGCTCATGGTGGAGTTCTAGGCTGCTGACTGTGATAACTGGACTTGGGGACTGTCTATCTGACCACAGTGTGTGTCTCTGATAATAATGAAGCAGTATAGACTAGTCCCTTAGAGTGCTTCTTTGCTTTTAATTGGACATCTATAAGTTCTGGGTGATGCTGCTGCTATTATCTCATGACAGTAGATGAGGAATTGAGTGATGGAGTTTGTTTGTGGGATGGAATCACATATGGGGTAAATAATGAAATCCAGTTTCAGGTATGGGCACTGGTACCGCATAGGTGGTAGTTAATAGTGACTGCACACAGTTAGCAGACAGCCAGAAATAACCTCAGGATTTGTGGATCTAAGAATGAAGTCTGAGCAAAAATATTATATTTTTGAATCTCCCTTTTTTTCTCTAGTTAGAGTCTCATGTGGCCTAGTCTATTTTCAGATTCACCATGTAGCAAAGTCTGGCCTTGAACTCCTCATTCTCTTGTCTCTGAGTTCTGAATGTTGGGATTACTGGTATGTGCCATCATAAACAGCTTAAATGATGGATGCATTTAAAGGATGGGGGGCAGAAAGAGTAACAGGCTCTAATGCCCCCTTCAGACCCATTTCCATGGCTAGGAACATAGTAGAAGAATGTATTTGGAAACTTGAGAATTCAGAATTCCTTTGATCAATGAGACATACATTGGGTAGCATGCTGAGATCTTTGTGATGGGCTTGAGAGTCAGTGATGGACAAGTTTAGCACAGCTCCGAGTTACCAGGGCTGCCATAAGAAAGAAATATTTTTGGTAAACATTTATAAAATCACCCATCTGTGAGGGGTGTCTTTGTGAACAACAGGATGCAAAGAAGGCAGTTTTCAGAGGAGTAATTGTGGACATGTTGTAGTCATTTCAGAAGACTTCTTTGGTAGATGACATTTAAAGTGAATGCTGAAACAAGCCAGAGTTAGGCAAGCATGTGTGTGTGGGAGGAGGGCAGGGCTACGACAGTGAATTGAATAGCTTGGGGTAAGAAAGGAACATTATGTGGAAAGTTCTAGAAATCAGATGCAGCTGAGATCTTTCAAAGACTGTAAAGGTGGCCAGTGTGGTTAGACATTTTACAAGAGCAGAGGGGTGTTAGTAGGCAT